TTACACAACAACTTTCGCGGATTATTGTTTTCCTTTCGCGGACCCATCGCGGATCTTTCGCGGACACTCTATTCCACATGTTAAAACCGTTTTATATAATCCTTACACAAGGACCTTTAGATCAATGCTCATATATATATATATATATATACATATATACATAGACATATGGTGTGTGTAGTTACATATAAAAGCACACTGGCGAAACTGCTGCTAGGAGGACCTTGGCTCAAGACTGAAGTGAGAGAGACTCTGAGACATCTCTGGGTCTGCATCAGTTTGGGGGGGCCGGGGGCTTCTTCGGCTGAGACCAGGACGTAGGAGCCGGACATGGCAACTGCAGATCCGAAGCGATCGAAGGGCACCGCGTCGCTGGCCGTCAGCTTCGCCTGCTCCGGCAGTTTGGGGGCATTTTCTGTGACTCTGAGGCGTTTTTTTTTTTTTGGAGGGGGGGTTCATAAACCCTAAACCCTAAACCCTAAACCGTGCTGAGGCTTCGGGGGCCCCGAGACGTCGGGCCCTTTCAGGTCTCGGGTCGGAGGTCCTACCGCCGTCCCCCACGTAAACCGCGAAAATCAGCGAAGAGCTGAGCTGCAGTTAGCAGGACTTCAAGCGCCCACTTTCGCAGCCGACCCCTGGGACGGAGATGAGCATTGAACGCTTGCCGTCCATTCTTTCCAATGCACCGGAAAGAGCTTCCAGGGCTTCGTTTCCCGATCTCACAATCGGCTTACTAACAGCTGCACGGTGTTTCGGAACACTCGCCGGAATACGAAGCCGTGGAAAGCGACTCGAAGACTTCGTCTGAACCAATGACTCCGAGGGGACATGAAACGTGTGAAGGATGCCTGCCACCTGCACGGGAGGGGCAGGCCCCCGCCCACGCCTCCTGCGACCAGCCCGTTGCCGTGTCGTCACGACGGAACACGTAGGCCGCACCTGGACCAAAACCCGCAAGGCCCTCTCACAAAGGCCCCCTTTTGTTCGGAAACCCACTTAAAGAATTCGATGAGAGTTCCACCTCATCCATAATAACAACTATATACACACACATATATATATATATATATACACACGTTAAAGTTAGTTTAGTGTTTCTGAGCCATTTTTAGAGAGCCCCAACCAAGTCTTTGTTTTTGCCGCCGCTGCCGCTATCCCTCTGCCGCCCTCGGATCGAGGCCGAGGCACCGCTGCCCGGGCCACCGAGGCCCGTGTGCCAGTCGGCGCCCACCTCGGACCGAACAAAGGGGGCCTATGCGTCGCCTATGCGTGGACTCTTCGGGTTAAAATATGGAAAAAGTGGGGGGGGGCCAAAAAGATGTGACAGCTAGAAATCCTGTCGATTCTTCGCGTGAAGCTTGGCTCAGACTTTCGAGAATGCTTGCCTGCAAAGGTCCTTGTCTAAAGTGGGGTTTACTCGGTTGCGGACCCTGATCCTTGGCAGGGACCCAAGTTTCGAACCCTCCTCGATGCACGCCAGGAGGGCCAGCGAACCCAGATGAACATCAACAAAAAAGTTGCCAATACCAAACATGGTAGGTACCCTTGCAATAACTGTTCTTGCAGTGGTTTCTTAGAGATGATAGTAAGGCAACGCGCTTTTTTCCGTGGTGATTTTTGGCCACGTCGAGTGTGTTTTACGGGGCAGGCATATGGGACTCTTGAATATAAGCGTGTTTGGGACCTCCACAAGGAAATCTTTACTGTACTCGGATATTGACGATAGTATGGGTTCTTCATCATCCTCGCTATCATCATATCGTTGCGCACTGTGTTGTGCAAAGAGGCAGAGAAGCTGCAAATACCTGTTGTTTTGGGCATGCTCGCACTTGTGACAATGCGTAAACGTTGATACAGTTGCAATAACAGTGTAACTACTGCGACATGCTGCAACTAAGAATAGTTTGGGCATCTCAGAACGGATTAGACCGTTGGTTCATTTGGTTGAACAGCCGTCTTTGGGCCCTTGGATGCTCTCCTCTCAGATTAGACCACAGACGTCATCATGGTTGGGCCACGGATGCTCTCTTCTCACGACGGATTACAAGCAGCATGACCAGCATCAGCATGAAGAGCGAAGAGCAAGGAAAAACAAGCTGAACAAGAGCACCACCATCAGGAGGCACAAGCAGCAGCATGAATAGCAGAAAAAGAGCAACAGTGAAAGTAAGGCACCTTGGCCTGGCAGCAAAAATTGAGAAGATGCTTCCAGCTAGACTTCCCCAAGTTCCCTTAAGAGTTGTTCCGTTACCCAAGGCATCACAACATCTCTCGTCAGCCGAAGCACCAGCACGTGGCCCTCCTCAGTGACGGCCACGGCCACGCCGAAGCGATCTCCAGGGTTGGTGTCGTTCGCCAGCAGCTTCGCCTCGGAGCAGCCCCTCCAAAAAAGGGCCCTAGGGCCTAGGGCCTAGGGCCCTCTGGGGTAGGGCTCTTTTGGCACCGCGGCCCGGCCCTCGCCTGCTGCTGCCAGCCCGAGCTTCGGGTGAAGATGTAAGCGGACCTCAGCCCCAGCACTCAGCGTCTCTCGAGGGCCGCGCGCGTCTCGCCCTCCACCATCTGCCGAGAGTGTGCTGAGGGCGCCACCCCGTCTCGGAGAGAGAATCCACGTCGTGGCCGCTGGCCCCCACCACGAGGTAATCACCTGACAACTTCTCTCTAGGCCTAGGGCCTAGGGCCTAGGCCTGGACGACCCGGCCCCAGACACCGCACCGCCTGACAACTTCAGCGAGCTTCCGAAGCGATCGCCGACGGCCTGGGGCGGACGCGCAAAGAGGGCTTAAATCTGGTGACGAGAGCAAGAGAAAAAGAAACTCCCACACCTCTCATTGTGAAACTTGACAAGAAGCTGTTTCTGCGTCTACAGGGACTTGGGTAAGTTGACCACTTTGTGCCGGGATACCTGGAACCCCTTTGAACGCATAGGATTCAGGAAGTTGACGAAGTTGACCGCGAGTTGGGTTTCCGCAAGTACACGCATCGGTTTGAGAGCGGCCAAATGTAGCGGATCGTGTATTTCCATATCCAAAACCCCTTTGAACGGGATCGCCTAGACATGCCTCAACAATGCCTGAAGGAAACACCCTGGATCGTCATTCCCCCAACTACACGCATCGTTTAAGAAGGTGTGAAGTGTATGCACTATAATGCATGACCTTGGGAGGTCATTCTCCATGTACAAGATGGGTTTCCGCAAGTAAACGCATCGGTTTGAGAGAGCCAGTTATAACTGTTTGTGTAGTTCCATCTCCAAAAACCCTTTTGAACGCTGCGCCTAGGCATGCCTCAATAATGCATGAAGGGAACGCAATGCCTCAATAATGCATGAAGGGAACAGCCTGCATCCTCACTCCCCCAACTACCCGCATCGTTTAAGCAGATGTTAATTGCATGCGCTGTAATACATCACCTTGGGAGTTCAAGTCTCTTGTCGAGTGACGGCGTCGGATGGGACAAGCCGCAGCTCCTGGAGCCACTGCCCGGCACTCCTGGCAAAAACTGAATCGCAAAGACGAAGACCGAACGAAAAGTGCTTTTGACCCCAAACATGGACGGAGGGCAGCAAGTAGACGTAGACCACTCCGGAACCTTCTGCCGGAGCACCAACCACGAGCGCATCGCCTCAATGCAATCGGCTCGGCTGCGCGTGCACACGTGTGTGGCAGGAGACCTGGAATTTACAAAGCAGAGCTGCTCAATTTTGCGCGCATATTTACCCGTGCATGCGACCGTGGCGGGACCAGGAGTGGAGGGCAGCAGGACGAGTCGCACGCGGAACTTTGGCGGAAGCACGACGGTCAACTTCGGCAAACCGGCGGAAGCCCGAGACTCGTGGAATAGTATGGTCCGATTTGAATGAGCCTGTATGGCCGGAGGACGATGTCCACCCAAGGACGCTTGAAAAGCCATACCTGCTGAAAAAAGCGCACGACAGTGGCAGGAGAGCGACAGATTCGAGATCGGAAGTGTCAACAGCTCTCGGATTCTACGACGAACTCGGCGTCCCCCCGCGACCTCTCCAAGTAGATCCCTGCACTCCGAATGTATAAGAACTCCATGCTCTGGGCATAACGTATACGAACTCCAAAGGTGCTACGACGCTGCAACAACGGAGAAAGAGACGGACGGGGCGGGACTCGCCCTCCCTCACTAGACACGCCAAGATTGAAGTGTTCAAGAGAGAACTCTGCATGCCTCTATCCGGAACTGTGCAGAAAAAGTCAAAGGCAACTGCCAAGCAAAGGCCGGGTCACCCGAGATGCTGATGGTCTGGGCGTACCCCTCCTCGATGTTGCGCAGCACTGCCGCCTCCGAATCTCACTAGATTCTTCTAGCCACAGTGGCGATGGGAAAAACATCTGGCCTCGTAGGTGGCTTGGTAAACGGCAAGAGCACCAAGGGGGAGCAGGGCTTCAAGGAGCATAAACCTCGGGAGGAGAACAGAAGTGGGGAAAAATCTGTCCAAAAGCGCTATCTCCCCGCCTTGTGTCCCTTCCACACCCGCCTCCGCATCCCCCTCTGACTGCCAGAATCAGAGCTTCGAGCCTTTAAAGCAGCGACGGGCGCGCAGGCTCTGAGTCGAAGGCTAAGGTCTCCCAAGCAAGCTATGCAAGCTTAAGCAAGTGATGTGCCCCCCCCCCCGCCCAGCATCCAGTTTTCGAAACGATTTGCCCGCTGTGCAAGGACTTTCTGGCAGGGAAGCTGGCGACGGCAAGCGCTGCTCTGCCCTTCCCGCCCACTGGGCTCTTCAATGGTGACTCTGCTGAGGCAGCTCATCGCCATGATCGGACCTGCTAGCAGAGCGTTGTGGTGCCGGTGCTAAACGTGCTCCTGGTGCGCTGGTGCTGGTCGTGTTGCTGGCGTCTGGTGGCGCTGGTGGTCCTGGTGCTAGTGGTGCTGGTGGTGCTAGTGGTGCTAGTGGTGCTGGTGGTGCTGGTTGCGCTTGGTGGTGCTGCTGGAGCTATACTTGTGCTGGTTGCAGGTGATGCTGGTGATGCCGCTGAGCATTGCTAGGATGATGCGCATCGTCTGTCTGTGTTCAAGTGCTTTCCTAGACAGGACCGTGACAACGAGCCACAAGTTCGAATCATTTGGAGTCTGTGATGCCACCCTGGCTATCCCTGCTTAGTCTGGCCTGGAAGAACAACAAGCAACCTGCGAGGCCTCAGACCCAGAAGATTATGCCAGCTGGCAAGCCATGGCAAGCCATGGCAACGCTTTACTTTGTCTCCACCCGAAGCAGACTCCTTTTAAGGACTTCAGACCGCCTTCGACGCGAGTGATCGGCTGCGCGCAGCATGAGTGTACCTCAATTATAGGGCTCCACACTCCGCTGCCTTCCTTCGCAAAACAGCTGAAACAGCTCAACCGGCTGCCGAGCGCCCCACAGCGCTTCCTCCAGCGGCGTCTCCTTCTCTCTGGTGTCGGTCGTCGGCCCGCCGGCCCTGGTTCCTGTCGTGAGGGACCACTGGAGAATTGGCTGACCACCTAGATCGCGCCTGGCGGAACACGACGTGAGAAGCCTGCAGAGCTGCACCGCATGCCACCGCCAACTCCTATGCCAATGCCAATGTGAAGTCTCTCAGCTGCGCGGTACACCAGATACATCGGACCTGGCTTCCCTCCAGGTCGCATCAGGGAGCCGCGCCCCAGAACTTCCCTGTGAACATGGCTGCAGTCCTACGTCTACTTCCACAAGTCAGATCCGTCGCGAGACGAGGGGCCTTCAGCCTTCAGCTGTGGAGATAAGTGGGCCACTTCCGAAGCAGGTAGGCCTCTGAGAGGCCGTGAGAGGATTCGGCTGTCACTGGGCCGCTGGGCTCCAAGCGTTCAGCAGCCGCCGGAGCGCAGGGCTGAGCTTGTCGTAGGCTGCCTGGCACTCTGTGGCACTCTGTGGCCCTGTGACAGATTTCGCCTCCGTCCACGCAACGGGAGACTTGCGAGTATTCGCCTGGGGCAGGATCGCGACGGTGCTGCAGTCGACAGCTCGTAAAGTGCCCGGGTGTGCCTCACTCGCTTCGCACACTCACCCTCAATCCCTCTTATGTCCTCCGTCAAGGTCGGTCAAGGGGCCATGTTTGCCAGGAAGGCCCGAGCAGTGCTGAAGGGCCCTGCACACCAACTGCCCTGTCGCTGAAGGATCGAAGCTTTCTCGAAAACGGATCCGGCTTCGAGGCCTCGGCAGGGCCATCTCCCCCAGCTCGCGGCTTCTACAAAAAAAAACGTAGAGTCAATGTAGAGGAGCAGAGGTAGTGACGGTATGTGACGGTAGTGTTGCATCATGGAAAACTGAGAGCAGGGAATAGCTATATCGCAAAATGCATGCAACACGCTCACCTGGACCTTGGCATGCAAGCAAAGCAACAGGCAGCCCACGTCGTGGAGTGTGACACAAATCCCGAACCATGACCACCAAACTCCGTCCGATAACTAGGTCTCTATGTGGCACATAGCATGTTAACAAACAGTCTGCCGAACAACATGCACCCAGTTATTTTGACAAGTACTATCTTGACATTCTCCGACCAGGAATGAAATTTCATGCAGACCACATGTTCCACTGCACATGCCTCAGAAGCTCAAACATGTAGCGCAACGAAAGAAAGACTCTGCTGAGAATCACACAATCCGATGCTTCGTCAAAAACACGGGCGGCATTGCATCAGACCAGGAATACAGCGGAACACAGCATAACAGAAAGAGAAACCTAATGAGCAACAAAGGAAGCAGGAAACCAAGAGTAACTGCAGAGGAGCTGAAAAACTAATCGCCACGCGACGGTTCTGGTCCTGAAAGACGCGCACGGACTGCTCCGTCTCGTTTTCCGGGTTCCAGATGTGCTCCACCTTAGGACGCGTGGAGATGTGGGGCCGTGCTGAGGCGTCGCCTTAGGAAGGCCTCCGATCGCAGCTTTCCGCAGCTCTCGGCTTCCAGAGGAACATCGCTGTCTGTCCTCAAAGGACACGGCCGAGTGGCAGAGCCGAGCAGCAGCCAAAGCAAGGGCGGCGCCTGGCCCTGAGAAGGGCTGCGGCTGGCTGGGAAGTTGCACGGACACGGATTGATTGGCACAGAGTGCGCTTCTTTTTTTTCAGTTTCATTTCGTGGCGCCGTCCTCTGACATCCAGGCTCCTCCGCGCGGTCGGCGCTGAAACTTGGGCGCAGAATACACCATCCCGGAGCTCCTCCCCAAAAGACACGCACCAACACCGACGTTTGGAAAGCTGTCCCCTGCGATCCCTGCGCGCTCCACTCTCTCGCAAGCTCTGACGAGCCCAGAAGGTCCCTGCCCGCTCCGCCTGAAGCCCAGATCCCCCAAGCTCCTGCAGGTGGCCTGCCTGGTCTTGGGAGCAGAGTACACGACGTCCCCCTTCCTGGCGCAGAGCTCGCCCGCAAAACTAGATCAAATCTCCATCCTTCCTGAACTGTCAGTTCACCCTTTTCCTTGAACTTCTCAGAAATCTTGCAGGGCGTTGGGGGCCGAGAGGCTGCAGCTTTCGTATCTCCAACAGCGGCACCAGTTCAGAGAGAAGCTCCGGGTTGTAGCTCGGAAAGTAGCCATCCAACCACACCTGAAGCTCAGAAACGAAAAAAGCGCTAGCAAGGCGCTCCACCCTTCAAAACCCCCAAAACCCCAAGGTCTCAAAAAGGCCCAAAAGCCCCCTCCTGCCTCCTGCCTTCTCTGAAGGAAGGACGGAAGGACAGGACAGGGGGGGGGGGGCGTTTTTGGTCGCTGGCGCCGAGGCGCGTGGAAGTCCACGTGCAGCCCGGCCAGCGGCGATTCCATGTCCACGCTGCGGGAGAGCAGCTCCCTCCAGGTGCAGCGTGCAGCGTGTCTGTGTGTGCGAAACTCTCCGAGAGCTCGGCGCCTGGCCTGAGGTTGCCGTGGGTGTGACCCCGGCACTGGCCAGGGGCAGGCTGGTAGGAGCGCAGGAAGGCCTCCTCCACCCACTCCACCGCCTTCACAGAGAGCGAGCTCGCGAGAGCGAGAGAGCGAGAGAGCGAGAGAAGTGCAAAGCCCAAGCCAAAGCCAAAGCCAAAGCCCTGCAAAGCCCTGCCGCGTCCAAGTTGTGGGCCACCAGCAGCAGCTCGGGTGCCGTGCCCGCTGCGGGCGCCTGTCTGGAGCACTACCACGAAGCGCTCTTCAGCGCTAGACTCAGACAAGGTCTGTTGTTGGGGGTTTCCCCGCAACGACTTTGTGTTCAGGACTTCGGAGGTTGGATTTCGGACCGCGAGCGCACTTCCCAGCTAGAAGTACGCGGGAAGACAACATGTTCCGAATAGCGTAGCTCTGTTGCGCAAGTGCAAAGTCACTGGCATTGGCGGTACTTTCGAGCTCTTGCAACAACCAACTTCTTCCGTTGTACTGCCCCATGGTCTGCGGGAAACCTCCAGGGATTTGCCGAAGACGACTCTTTTTGTTCACCCTCGCCTGGTCCTGAAGCTTGGCCAAGGGCAGCCCGAAGTTTTGCATTTGCAGGATCAAGGAACTCTGCACGTGAGCGAGGATCAGCGTGCAGCCCAGCTCTTTGGCCACGCTCCTCAGCGCTCACCCTGCAAGAGCAGCCCGCAACAGCAACCACGTAGCTGCAAGCCAGGGCTCAGCACTTCTTGGAAGGCGCTGACCGCCTCGGAATCGGTGTCTAGAGCGGTTAAACAGGCGTAAAACGGCTTCTGGCCGCGGCCAAGAAGCCGTGCACTCCATCTGCTGGACCATGTCGAAGTTCATGATGATGTAGAGAGGGTGTGGCCGGGCCTGCAGGTTGAGGAGCATGGGGCGGTATGAGTGTAAGCGCCTCGCAGCCTAGGCCTAAGCCTAAGCCTCAAGCGCCTCGCAGCTGATGGCGTGGGAGAAGGCGAAGTCGGGGAGCTCTTCGGAGTCCGAAGGCGAGGTAAAGCGCAGGTGATGCCTCCATAAGTCTATGGAGCTCCAAGAAGAGATGAAAGCAAAGAGATTCGCGCATCTTTGTGAATGTGGTTTTGCGTTGAGTCTGGGTGGTCGGATTGCCAACATGGAGTTGATGACCGTGCTCGGTCATTGCATTGCGGAGCACCGCCGGAACAGCGTGAACAACGTGAATGCAACATGCTTGCACTCAATGTTCTGGCCATGACATGGACTTAGGTGGCCCAAGGAACCTTCAGACGAGCACAACAGCTCAAGACACGAGCACTGCACTTGCGCAAACATACCCGAAGCCGAGCACTTTCAACTGGCTGCTGCCAGGTTTCTGGCTGTTGAAGTTCTCCAGCTCCTCAACATCAAGCAGGGCTCGCATTACGCAGACTCTCTTGACGTTGCACAGAGACATAGGCGCGCATTACGCATCACGTCGGCTTGGCTTTACGCCCCCCACGGCACGCGACGGTGTGTGAAGGAACGCAAGAGATGCCAGTGCACCCTTCAACCGAAAAACTCTAATCTCGATTCTGCAAGGTCATGCCGGGAAGGAAAGAAAATCCCGCAAAGTGCTTTGGCTGTTAGTGGCTTCAAGTCACGAGATGATCTCTTAGACCGCCCGGAATGGCTCCTCCACTATCTGCCGCATCGATGCAAAGTAGAGATAGCCTGTGCCGAGCGTCCAGACTTCTGCCTTTCGTGGCGGCAGAGACTTCAGGTGTGGAACTCTGTCTGCGGGCTCTCAGCTCCCTCCCTCCCTCCTCCGCGCCACGGCGGTTCAAGTACTCCGTGTCGCAGGTGGTGTGGAGCACGGAGCTTCGGATGTGCCCTAGGGTCTTCTGGGAGCGGATCACGGGGATGCTCGCCAACTGGCCCTGAACGATGCCCAAGACGGCGATGAAGCCAAAGAGCATCATCGGCGCCGTGCCCACCACCACGTACAAGCAGACCATGATCCAGACCTCTAAGAGGAGCGAGCGAGCAAAAAGCGCAACCAAAAGAGAGAGAGAGAGAGGGACTCAGAGGGACCTCGAGAGGGACCTCTGGAGCGGAGGGGGGGAAAACGGGCTTTTTCTGAGGTCCTGGCCAGGCAGTACTCGTAGACTCGCAGGAAGCGCCGGGAGTTCCAAACCCAGAAGGCCATGAGCTCGGCGGAGAGCCAAATCAGCACGGAGCCCGGAAGGAGCTGACAGGGCTCGAGCAGCGGCACATCTCTACTTAGGACTTGTCGCACGCAACTGCACGTGGGGCTGGTGCCCCTAATGGAGTCCGTAAGGGACATCCGGGGAGCCTTCGGCAGCACGGCCACGACGTAACCCCCCGCCACGAAGGCGGCGGCCGAGAAGGCCAGGAGCAGCATCTGAAACTGCCGGCCTCGGCGCACATCTTCCCCCCCCCACCAGCTGTTTCTTCCCCAACCCAACCCGCTTTGCCCCCCCCGGAGCAGAGACTTCTCTCTCTGGGCCGACGGCCATCTGCCCCAAGCGCCTGAGTGCATTGCTGCATGGTGATCACGAACGCCGTGCTCTCGAGTGCTCACCACAGGTGCTGCTGTGCAGCGGCATGGACGTGCGGGACTTTGCGTTATGAAGGCGCTTCCTTGCCCGCCCAGCTTCTCTGCCAAGGAGCGCGGCAAGTGACGGAGAAGGACATCACCATGTTCGCAGGGAGGCCGGACAGTGCGCCACAGCCCATGTTGTAGCTGCCGTGGAGCATCATCTCTCGATCAATATCCACTCGGATCTGTGTTGCGGTGAGTGTCCCGAAAATATTCATGACCTGAGGATAATTCTGTCTGGAAGGCTGGTTTTATAAGGACAATAGGTTTCCAGCATGCAGCTGCCACGGTTCTTTCTAGCTTCCTTTGTAAAGTTGACGAGGTGACAGCACACTTGGAGCACTCGGATTGCGGTCTGGACAAGGACGAAGACATCACTGAACTCAAATGGCTACGACTACGAGCATCATTGCATGCCATGATCTTTCGGAGGGCCCTTTCGAGTTCAGGATTTGCAGGCTAGGTGACGGCAGTCAAGACGGAGATACAGGCCGCGTTCACCTGAGTTTGCTGGAGCTCATCTGAAGCCGCTTCCGCTTCCGCTCTGCCCACTTCTGCAGGAGAGCAGCCACGGTGAGCCAGAAATTTGGGCAGATGAAAACGCTGAGATCCAGCTGCGAGGCATGCTCGAAGTGCATCGTCCAGACGCGATAGAAGTTGGGCTCCGGCGGCATCCGCACCTCGGTTGACAGTGCTGGACGACCAACCCCCTTCACGAAAACTGCAAAAATTCTGGAATTTCAGGGACTCCCTCGGCAGCTGAGCCAAGCAGCTGGGAAGAGGAGGCCCTCTTCTCTTGCGTCCTCGAGTCCTCTTCCAGTCCAAAGCAGCCATGCCAAGAAGAAGAAGGCCTTGGCCCAGCATGGCCCGGCTTCGCCGAATCTATGGGAGCTAGAGGAGCTGTCTCCTGAGAGCGGGCCTCAGAGATCAGGAACACGGGAATGAGCAGATCCTGACTGCTGGGGCGCTGCCTTGGGGGGGGCGCTGCCTTGCTTGGGCGCTGCTTTCTGCCGGCCTGGGGGATGGTGGAGCCCACGCTGACCCTGCTGGCCCGCAGCGCGAACATGGCCGCCCCGCCGAGAGCTCCCGGGAGCCACTGCCAAAGCGTCCTCGGAGAAAAAACAAAAACAGCGAGGAGGGAGTGTCCTTCAAAGGACTCTCTCTTTAAGCACTCTCCCAGGGTCCCAGAGCGCGCCCCGAGCACTCTCTCCGCGCCCCCCGGACTCTCGGCTCTCTCGAGGCGAGGGTCTCTGCGAGGAAGAGGGAGCTGTAGCTCTCCACTTCCACCAAGCCTCGGCTAACGGAAAAGACAGAGAGAGAGAGAGAGAGAGACGCTCCTCTCTCTGCCCTCTGAAGCTCTGAAGGGCCGCCCCCCTGCGCTGCAGCAACTGGGCTCTGGGCTCACGAAGCCGGGGACCATCAGGTTCAGGCCGTACTGGAGCAGCACCTCCAGTAGAACTCGACAAAGCAAACCCCAAACAAGAAGAAAACACACCCACCGCTGCGTCCAAAACCCAAGACCCAAGGCACTGCGCCGGTTCCGGCCATGAAGCCGCCATAGATCACGAAGGGGCAGGCCTTCCAAAGAACGAATCTAACGCAGGGGTCCGCGCCCCGCGAAAGAAAAGGGGTGTTTTCGGGGACTTGCCTTGACCAATCGAGCCAAGCGCAGCTTGCCCACCAGCCACATCCCCGCTCCGATCAGCACAGAGCACACCGCCACCTTCTGATGGGGCAACTGCACAAGTACAAAAAAGGATCCAGTCCGAAAATATGGACTTCTGCTTTGCGGATGTCTCACAAAGTCCTCGATCCTTCCTTCAAACACCCGAGCCGCCATGAAGTAGATCGTCGCGCAACGGCCAGGTCCCAGGGTCTTGAAATGCTCGGCCAGCAAGATGACGGTGGGGATACCTTAACAGCCTTAACCCCAACCCCCCAACCCCGACCACCAAAGTCTACAGCTTAAAAACACCCATTGGAAGCAATCAAAAGACCCTCTGCAAGGCTTGAAGGAGCTTCAGAGTTCAGTATCAGTGGTTTTCTATGCGCAAAACAACACACGCACAGCCGATCGCTCACTCAACGACTGACATCCAGTACAGTTGGCAGACATCAACCCAGCTCCTGATCCCGGTCACCCACACCGTCAACTGCCAGCAAGAACAGGGGAAAACCGTGTCCCTTGACCAACAACCCCACCGAGAGGAGACCCTGTCGCGAATCCCCCCCAAAAAAAAACAAACATGCCTGAAGACACCCGTCCCATCTTGTCTTCTCCTGGCCGCCATCCCGAGACCCTAAATAACTACATAACTGAACCCTTGGCCCCAGACCCGAAGCCCTTCAAGCCATAAGCCCTTGAACCCTACACCACCCCGCCTCCCCCCCTCCCCCCCTCCCTTTTCTCTGGAGCACTCGCTCCGGCCACGCCGAAGCGGATCTCCGAGCCCAGCAGTGAGCCGGCGTTCGCCACCAGCGTCGTCAGCAAGCCGATGGACATTCCCAGGGCCTGGTACTCGTGGTTCCTGGGCTCTGGCTCGTCTGGCTCGTGGGGAGGATCCTGTGAGGGGTTTGGGATGCATGAGGGTTTAGGGTATGGGGGATTTGGGAGTTGGGGTTCGGGATTTGGGAGTTGGGGTTCAGGGTTTCAATGGCCTGGTACTCCTTGCGGCGAGCTCCGCTTCTTGTCTGCGTTCGGCCTCTTTCAAGTGCTGCCGCGCTGCTTTTCGGCCTCTAAGCTTTTTTTAGGATCTCCTCATGACGATGACATCGGGCCCGCCAATGCCACACATCCCGGCACATCCCTTTTCCTAGTGGGGTCCTCAACTGCGTTATCGCTGCGCCTTAACTTGTCCAAGCTGCGGAAACTCGGCTGATGACGGGAAGAGCAGGCTGCCTCGCAACGCCGAAATCAAGGAGTGCACATCTGCTTCTCGGATCCGAAGAAGGCCCCATTCGTGCTTGGCAAGGCTCCAAGAGAAAGGCCATCGGTCGCCCCCATGAAGCACGCGACCAGGGCCGCAAAGACCTCGGTTGAAGGCCCGTTGGGGGCCCGTTGGGCCGACGCACCCCTCGGTTGCATGCCTTTGACCCCCTTTTGACCAGGCAGCATTACGGCCGAGACGGGCCTGCCCATGCAGCTTCTCGGGTGGGTCGGACTGGCCTCGTGGAGGCATGGCCAGGCAAAGTGTCGTGTTTCTTTTTTTCACACATGTCTGAGCGCCCGCACAAAGCTTCTCTGCCATGGCATCCACCGACATCGCCCGCAAATTGCTCATGGAGTGGGTGAGCTCGGCCGGTTGGGGCAACAAAGGGAAAGACATGGAGCGAGATCGCGTCCTGCAACTGGCAACTGGACATCGACCCTCTCTCAATCCCTTCTTTCCGTCGACGGATCTATCGGACCTTTCTTAGCAGGCAGCTTTATTTTCTGCCCTTTTGCACTCCGCCGCTCGCTGCGTTCCCTTCTCGCTGTCCCCCTCTTGCGCGCTCCCAACCTGAAAAGCTTCCGCCGGCAGCCCAAGGGAGGCGATACAAGCATGGACACATCCCATGTGTCATCTGCCATGGCGCTTGCTCTACATGTCGTGGTGTTGATTGCGAATTCGGAAATGCACACTGGAACACGTTGAACTGGCTGGCTGTGGCTGATGCAGTACGCAGCCAACATCGAGTGCTTAAGCTTCATGCTAAGCATGCACTTTTGGAATGCAACATGATCGCACTTGCTTGCTTATTCCAGTCTATCCAATACTTTATTCGGAGTGACCCACAAATCAGCTTGAAAATCGGGTGGAAAGCAAATGGCGGAAAGCTGCAACAGCCAAAGACACGTTGTGTAGATCAATCGGTGACTGTTAATACACAAATGTGCTGAACTTCCAGAGAACATGTTTTGAGCGAATGGGAGACGGCATCTTGCTGTCCGACACACCTCTTCAACTTTGGCACCAAGTTCCCACGGACGTTTCATGATTGACGGCGCAGCATCATGTTACATTTACGAACACAGAACCGACAGTATCGACGTTTTTTGCAAGGTGCATGCTGTTTAAGCTATCATCAGACACTCAACATGTGATTTTTTGCGTGCGCGCTATCTAAAACACCGTCAAACTGTCGGCTAGCTACTATAAGCTAGTAGCTCTTCGATAAGTGTCACATAACAATTGCACCCCCGGAGGCTCAACAATATCTTTATCAGCCGAGGCCGAAGAGCATAAAATCAAGAAGGGAGGGAATTAGAGAAAGCAGTTAGCGAACGCATCGGACCGCATCGGATCATGTTTTGGACCGCACAGCCCGTCACGTAAGTCTCGGATGAAACTTCTGGCGAGGAATGTCGGGAGCAAAATGGAGGATGGGCTCCCCCCCCCCCTTTGCGAAGGCTAAAAACCGGGCTTCATGGTTTGGAAAGGCCCAGATGCTCTGAGCCCTAAAGCCGAAGACTCTAAACCCGCCAGACTCGAAGCCCTACTTAGGGGATCAGCGTACTTAAACGATGAAGGGACTTAGTAACTATAGGGTTATAGATGAGGAAACCATACCTATCTACTCATAAACCAATTGGGTAGCTGATAACCTTACTTACTAAGTCCCATGATCCTCCAAGGAAACCCTCAAACCCCAAAATCTAGATTTTGCATCATTTGCATCTGGCCAGCATGCTCACTCGGAAGCTTTGCGTGCACATCTCCGGGCACGTGTCGCCCGACGATATAAAAAAAAGGCTCGAGTCATGGAGCCATGATTCTGCATGCAAGGCCAAAACAGACTTGAAGCATGTCTTGAATGTCTCGCAGCACTACTTGCTTTCAGAAGTCTGCAGGGTCAAGCGGACGAAGGCGCCATTTTATCCGCTAGACAAAGTCTCGGCTCAGTGCGCATCTTAAGCCCCATGCCAGCAGATGGACCAAGGTACACAGCAACCGCACAGCAACGCACAAACGCTAAACTTTCACACTGGTATTATTCTTCTTTGGTCCATCGTCGGCTCTAAGCTGTACAGTGGGGTTCTGGAGCCAGGTGGCAAGAGTAACTGTCAAATTGCTGTCGAGCTTCGTAAGGCCGTCAGCCATCATCAGATATGTGGGGACCCAATGGACCTGTCGGGGGTCTACTGATTGTTGAATGGATCTGATGTTGACAAGTGACCTCTTATCCGAAACGTTCGGGTTCTCCGCAACTATGCAGTCATAGAGGCTTTTGGCATCCGTGACGTGCAGGTTGTGAAAACGGCTTCCTACCTTAAAGGCGGGCTCGTGGTACACCAGCTCGGACAGGCAGAGGTTCAAGAAGGTTGAGCGGTCTGCTCCCTCGTCCGCTGCTGAGGCCTCTGCAGCGAGAGTGCTGCGGCACACACGGGTGCTGCGACCTGACTTCCAGTCGAGCAAAGTTGCTTTGCACGGGACTTCGCACACCTGAGGAGGCGCAATCATCACGAGTGCACCGTACTGGCTCTTGAGCTGCTCGGTGTTGGCCCATGACGAGTCAGTAAATGTCACGATCGTGGTCGCCTTGTTCAGCGGCACGTCCTGGTAGACAATTCCCTGCTCGCGGGTGGCCTTAAGAAACTCCACGGTCTCGTGGAGCCTCTTGAGGTCGAGCATGCTCGTTGCTTGCCCCTTCGTAGAGAGACTGACCACTGGGGAGATCTCGGGCCTCGTTTGCGACGCGAGCCATTGGAGAGACCCGGCCACCGACCTGAAGTCTTTCCACTCCTCGGTAGTAAGTGCCTCACCTTCTCGGGAGCGGCCTCTAGCCAAGTTGCCAGAAGCCATGCCGTCGATGAAGGCCGTCTGCGTCACCTTGTAGCGATAGCGTCCCTCGAAGGAGGTCAAGTGGATCTCCTTGCCTCGGTAGGTGCCGGGCTTGCCCTCTGAGACAATGTGGGTCGATCCCCACACAAACAGATCGGCAATGATGCCATCGTCGAAGTCGATGTGGTACGCGCACATGAAGTCGTCCACGTGCACGATCATCACTGCCCGAAGTTTTCCCTCCGAGTTCACGTAGTAGTACAGGCACTTATCGAAAGCATGTTGGCGAAACCCTTTTTCCAGCAATCTCTGGTTCACCTTCCGATTCCAGACCCTAGGAGCGTCCGGAAGGCCATAGCCATTGCCGAGCACTTCGTAAAGGGCCGCGGAAAAGGTTCCTGTGGCTGCCACCACTGGGTCCTGTGGTGGTAGCATATACAAGGGGCCGCCTCGTTCTTCACGGTTCTGCTCGCCCTGCAGGAAAGCTGACTTTGCGTCGGCGATCCAGAGCATCCACTTGCCCTTCTCGTTGCACACCTCCTCGTTTGCTAGCACCAAAGCTTCGGAGAGTCGAGAGGGGGTAGGGCTGTCTCTGCTCAACTGAAAAAGGTCTGGGTCAGCACAGCCAATGATGACCACACGGCACTTGGCGCGCAGTTCGCCGACCCCTTTGTTCTTGTCCCGGAAGGCGGATCGGCTGCGAAGGATGCGCTTGGCCAAGGCGCGATCTGCAAAGACCTTTCCAGCCTCCTGCCTCGAGAGGGGTCGCAACCCGCCCCAGCGAAGCCAGTTGTCGTGCTCTGTGACCACGGCCTCGTGGTACTTTTCCTGGGCTGCGCGAGGCAGCTTAACCACCTCTTTCCACGGCACCTCACGGTCGAGCTGCTTAAGTTCCTGTCTGGAAACAACTCGGTCGTTTGACACAGGGAAACCTTCCTCGTCGGTGCTCTCGTCAGCACGCGTGGCTTCCTCTGTCACTCCGGCCTCGTTGAGCTCCGCCTTGCGCCTTGCACTCGTCAAGTAGCAGGAGTAGAAGGAGTCCTGGCAGAACGGAAGGTTCATGTCGTTCACGGTGGGGTGCTCCTCCAAGACGGCCTCGCCAAAGTCGTCAAAGAAGAACCTGTAGGCGCCGGTGGTGTAGAGGACGTCGGCGGTTCGCTTCTGCGGAGGTAGTAGAAGGGGACCTTCTTGTAGAGGAGCTGTAGGCTGTTCGCTTGCGGTAGCGCTCGAAGCTCTCGGGACGTCACGTGCCGAGGCTTCTGAAGGAGGGTCCCGAGGAGTCTCCTGTCGTAGGTCGTGGTGCGTGTCGTTGCCGTCCTCGGTCTGCGGCGGGGCAACCTCGGGAAGGTCACTGAGCTCAGCGGCCTCGAGGTCGTTGTAATCGGGTGTCCCGGGCACGCCTGGACTGAACAAGGGAGTCTCTGGTATGCCCGGACTGAAAGGCAAAGTGCCTGGTGTCAAGGGTGCCGGTGTAGCTGAAGCCGTCTCGTCATGGCCTTCTTCTGGTGGTAGGTCAAGTGGAGGCCCTCGTTGTAGTTCTCGTGAAGCGCTTTGTCTTAGTGCCCCTGGAGAACCTGTACGTCTCTGCGTTGGAGTCCTTGACCTTCCCCTGCGGCTTCTAGGCGTCGGTGGCACCGGTGACGCAGGAATATTCATCGTGATTGACCTGTTGTCTACGTACCGCTGGTGGTACTCGTTGAAAACGCTAGTCTGCTGGACCCCCTGCTGCACGTTTGTCTGATGTTGTTCCTGCTGTATTGTTGTCTGCTGGTCCCCCTGCTGCACGTTTGTCTGAGGTTGTTCCTGTTGTATTGTAGTCGCGGTCCGCCTCGGAGTCGGGGGCGTTGCTGCCGAAGAGGCGGGGAGTCGAAGAGACAAGGGTACCAGGTCGGCTTCGTCAGGAACTGCTTGAGGTCCAGGAAGTTGGGCGAGATCCTGCTGAGCTTCTTGATCGGCTCCGGGAGGTTCTTCACGAACCTCTTCCCACAGGTTCTCGCGAAGATTTTGCTCAGCATCCTTGAGGATGGCCACATCTTCGCGGCTTGGGGTCCACGACTCCCAGCCACAAGCTATGCGAATCTGGTTCGCAGCGATCTTCACGGTCGTTGTATTCACCTGTGCCCAAATGCTCTTCCCGTCGGGGTCGACGCTCACGAATCTCGCAAGAGACCACGCACCCTTTTTGTGCTGCCTCGACCGGCCGGACCACCGCCAGAACGCGATGGGTTGTCCAGGTTGCAGCTTTTGCAGGTCGATTTGGTGCCTGGTCTTGCGCAGCAGTGCTCGCTTCAGGCTTGTGCTTGCGGAGTGCTCCGCGAGTGCCTTCAGAGCGTCGGCTCGAAGAATTTCGGGCCTTAAGGCCTGTTGCTCGGGAGAGATCACTAGGCTCATTGGGTCGCTCAGCAGGTCGCCGATGGGCCGGGGAATTTTCCCGAAAACTGCTTGGAACGGCGATCGCCCATACGTATATGTGCTCGAGTTCATTGCATGGGTCGCAGCCACGAGGCACTGGTCCATGTGCTCGCTTGTGGCGATGCCCTTCTCGTCAATGATCCTTTCGCAGATCGACCGGAGAAGAGCATTCCTCCTTTCGATCTTTCCAAGACGGTGATGGGCCTCGGCGGGGATCACGTCGTGCAACACTCCATGTCTCATATGGAACTGAATGACCTCGCCGCCGAACTCGCCGGCGGAAACTTGACCGGTAGTCCCAAAGGTCGGTACCACAGGTCCAGAAGAACCTTCAGCACCAAAGAGGGGCTCCGGTTCTCGAGGATCTTTGCTGCATGATATGATGTGGCTTCACATGTGACGCCCAGCACCGCGTAGTTCGTGCCGTTGATCGCCCGGATGTAGACGATGTCGGCCTGGATCACCTCTCCGAAGTAGCCACAAAAGTTGCTAGGCACGCTGGCTGGCGGCGGTTTTGCGGGCATCTTGGTCCGAATGCAGCTGCTGCACCGAAGGTTTTCAAGACCTGTCAGGACTCGAGCGTTCAAGTGGCCGGCTGCAGCTAGTACTCGGACCAATTCTGGCTGAGAAGCGTGACCCATGTTTATGTGAAGCCTCGCGAGTGAAGCCTGCAGCTTGCGGTCTATGTTGCCTTCGAACCATATCTCAGTATCCATGCCGGGCACCGGTTGGCGGCTGTGATGCCCTTTTCCTGGAGCATCCCCAGAAGGTGGCCTCTCCGGGCCGTCAGTGCTCGCCTCAGGCTCCTCGACGGGCTCGCTGTCGGCCGTGGGTCGGGGAGTGCCGTAAAAGAAAACAGCCACTCGAACACCTTGAACGAAGCGCTGCTTTGGGTGAGCCAGGGATCCAAGGTCCTCGGCTTCAAGCTGAAAGTCGCCTGTGGTCAGACGCAAAGCTGCACCACGATGAGTGTAAGGAAACTCCTGGGGCAGCCGTCGCGCCTGAGGCACCCATGCTGCCTGGATTCGAGAAATCTCCCAAGGAACCAGGTCAGCAACGGCCTGGTACAGCGGGTCGCCCTTGCCCAGGTAGTACGGCTTCTTGCGCGTATTCGTGAACTTAGCCTCGATGTCGTCAAGGATGTGGTTCCAGGCCTCAGGGTTTGCCGCGGGTCGTGCGAAGTAAACCTCGTGGGGCTTATGTGCAAAGCGACTCGGAAAAATTCGCCTTGCTTCTTGAAAGACTCCGGTGAGGATGGCGCGCACAATGCCGTCGCAGTAGACACCGGTGCTTTCGCGGCTCGCCCTTGCACAGTAGGCCTCCTGTTCCTCATCCAGTCGTCGGCCCAAAAGCGAGGCCGTGGAGGACGAGTTGGTGGCCCACCAATGTTTTCGCAACTCCGGCTGTCCTTTTTCGTTCTCGGCTCCGTAGGCTGCTGCGTCGCACTCGGCGGTGATCACGTCCTTGTGCTGCAGCATCTCCTGGGTGTTGGCCAGGGTCCATGCCCGTGCTGTCGGTGGGCCCTCACAAAGGAAGAGCCGCCCTTCGTGACACTGATTCATGCACACCTGGAGGCTTGTATGACACTGATCCAGGTGAGCCTCGGAGCCGAGCTCGGAGCTCGGCCAAGCCATCAGCACGCACATCGGCTTGAACTTTTGCACGGCCTTCACGGAGTCCTCGAAGTCCAGGGGCTGCAGCGCACTCAAGCCAAAGTCCCGGCACATATCGATGATGCGGCCCATGCCTGCATTCAACCCGATAATGTCGATCCTGTGGTCCGAGTGCACCTGCTTATACACCGGCATCTCCTCATAGGCCGTGAGCTCTGCGTCATAGATCTTCTGGGCCTGCCTCAGGAAGCCCGTGATCCAGGTCTGTGTGCCCGTCTTCAAACGTCGAGCACCACCGACCAGTCGTACTCCTCCTCGCTGTCTGTGTCCAGCCTCACCGCCGGCACCAGTGGCGCTGAAGGCGCGGACTTCGCACTGGCTGTGGCCTTGGCCAGCTCTGTTTGCCGTGCCGCGATCTCCGCCGCGAGACGGTCCAACTCTGCTGCTTCCTTCTGCATCGCGGCCACCTCGGTCGTGCTCAAGGTTAAAGGAGCGTTCTCGGAGGGAGCGCCCTTCGCCAACGAGGCCCTCTCCTTTGCGGTGAAAGCCAGGGGACGATCGGGATCGACGCCCTCGCGGGGAGGCTTCGGAATCCTGCGGTCGTCTGCTGTCGCCTTGGCTCCCGGCACCAAACGGGTCCTCATAGAGGTCTTTCTGGAAGTCGTCGAAGAGCTCGGCATCTCCGGGACCAGGTCGGAAGCCCAGGTCGGCCTGACCGAAGAAGTGTCCGATTGCTGTGGAAGCGGCAGTCGCCGCGAGGATGGCAGCTCTTCCCAAGCTCCCAAGGTGTAGCGCCATCTGGTTCCGCACAGGGTGCACTTGCTGAAGCTGCCGTGCTGGTTGCCGCTCCTTGCTATTGAAGCGGGCGGGTGTCGGCACGGCTTGGCAATCTTCTCGAGGAGGCCGCTCGTCAGTTCCTGGTGCAGAGGGTCCTGGTGAGCAACCCACGCCCTCGAGCGCAGTCCCAACCTGACAGTGTTCATCATGAAGCGGATCAAGGTCATCTCGGCGGTGAAGATGTGCTTCACCACCATGCGCCATGCCAGCAGCCAGGCAGGAGGAGCTCGGCTCGTTTCCATTCACACGGCGGGCGCGGGAGAAGGCAGGCTGCCGCACCAGTTCCAGGTCGGGGTCACCTTGATCCAGGATTCTGCTCAGAACGTGCCATGCTTCACGAGTTTCGGGAAACTGCAGATGGAGATGCAAATGTGGCCGTTAATCTTGACAATGGGCACATCGATGCCGAAAACGCTAAAGTGCACACACCCCTTGGGAAAGTCAATCACAGCCTGCAGCTTGCGCTCAATCATCGGAAGGCTCAACAACAAAGGTATCTCACTGTTCTCATGCAGCACGCTGGTCCCGAACAAACAGCACGAAAAGGAGGAACCGTCGAGGGCTACGGGGATATACGCATGCTCTTTGCTAAACTGCACGGCACCGACTCCAAACTGGAAACCCTCTCTCTCCTCTGAGGTCTTGGGGTGGAGCTTGTACTTCCTCAGCAGCTCGCCGTGTCGATCTAGCCACCCCTTGCTGCAAACATTTTTCTGACACGCCGTATCGAGGACAGCGTATCCTGCGAAGTCACCTGGCCGTGTGACCAGGACGTCGTGGCTCGGGGCCACGGTGCTGCACACAAAAGTGGTAAAGTGTGGTTTGTCCAGCCTCGGCCTTGGTCTCGGCTCCGGGGGCTGTGTCCTCGAGGTCGGTCTCCTGGTTGCCCTCGGCGCGCACGATCATGACCTTGGAGTTCTTCCCGAAGCCCTTGCCGGCCGCCTTTGCTGCCGGTGGGGCCTTCCCTTTGGCACCAGGCTTCATCAAGGGACAGGCCTCGTCATTCTTCCAATGGCCGGTCTGGCCGCACGCTGCACACGTAGATCTCTTCTTGCGCTCCTCGATCGAGGCCTTGGGCCCGCTGAACTTGCGCCCCAGCTTGACTCCTTGAAGGCGGCGGGCTGTAACGGTCAGGAGCACGGCATCAGCGAGCTCAGTCGCATCGTCTGGGGCGTCGTCGACGAGCAGCTCCTCGTCATCGTCCTGGGCCTCGCCGCCGTCATCGGCTAAGTCCTGCTCCTCTTCTTCCGGGATCTCGGCCAGACCGTCCGGAACCTCCTCATCCTCAGGGGCCTCCGCGGTCTTGGCGACGAAGGTGTGGTAGCCCTTTCCGTTCATTTTCGGTGAGGGCCGTCTTTGGCCCTTGTCTTTGTCCTTGCCCTTGCCGTACCCTTTCGGCTCCGGACGGGAGTCGGTGGTGCTGTGCCGGCTGCCTCCGTCGAACTCCTTAGTGTAAATCACCTGGGGAACTGTGGAGCACAAAGTTCATGTTTGTA